ACGCCCACAGAACCGGTAGTAAAAATATTTGCATCCCATCTCTGGTTATAAGTCAAAGACTACCTGTACCCACATACCTGCTCACTACCCTGAAGTCACCTGAAGGTCTAAGGCAGCTGTTTCTCAACGCTGGCCACTTGAAGATGGGTGGACTTCAACTCCCAGAATCCCCCAGCCAGCATAGCTGGCTGGGGGATTCTGGGAGTTGAAGTCCAACCCCATCTTCAAGTGGCCAATGTTGAGCAACCCTGGTCTCAGGTCCCCAGAAGCCTGGTTACACTCCAGGTGACAAGCATTGGGTGCACCTACCGATGTAGAAGGTTTCGGGGGTCTCCTTGGTCAACATGTTGAAGACCTCCTCAGAATTGGGGGAGCGATAGGGGCTCCTGAGGTCCTTGTAGCGGCAGCTCAGCTCCGCTCGGATGTCGTACAGGGTGATGTGCTTGTCGCCATAGCCCTGAAAAGGACACAGATTACAGATGAACAGAGTTGGAAGGGACCTTGTAGGTCATCTACTCCAACCCGCCGCGGGGGGGCTGTGAACGTCTGGAGAAAAGACCCTTCCCTTGGGCTGGGAAGGAGGGAGGGGGAAGAGGTTCTGCGGACCTGTCTCTCCAGCTCCTCCGCGAAGGCGTCGAGGTCCAGGTCCTTCAGCCGTTCCGGGTTTTCCAGGATCTCCTCGAGGGCCCCGGCGGGATTGGCGTCTTCGGCCGACTCGTCGTACTCCAGAGCATCGACCGCCATCTTCCGCGCCCACTCGTAGGTTTCTGGGTGGACCCGGGAGCCATCCAGGACCTCGATGTAAGAATCCGTGCTGGGAACCCAGACAGGCATCGTCAGGGGAGATTGATTGGTTTCGCACGGCGTTTAACAAAATACGGCACTAAGTGTATAAAATGCCACCCAAAACACAAAGATTTGTCTATCAAAACACAAAGATTCTTTGTGTTTCTTCAATTGAGCCCATTCATGCGCTGGGTGTCATCATTCCCGTTCTCCAATTCAATATATTCGTGGGGCAAAAGCTCTGGTAGTTTAGTTACAATCTTTTAAAGATAAAGAGTTGGAATGTACTTTCGCTTCCAAACTGCTGCGCGGCTCTTCCAGATTTCCTCCTCCCCCCCCGCCCTCCTTTTAGGGCAACTACTAAAACAGCCAGAGGAATGTTTGATGAATTGACACCCCCCCCTTGCCCAAAGGGGCAGCATCCCAATTTAAATAGTTCAACCAACCACCCAACCAAGGCCTGGCGAGAGAGCAACCCCTGGCATGGAGGAACCGGAGCCGCGGAGGCTTCCTTTGGGACGCTGCAGCAGCGGCGCCCAGCCGAGGACCTGCCAGAAGGGCTGCTGCCTTGCTGGCTCCCCCCCCGCGCCCACCTGTCTCCCAGCGAGGCCGTGTCGATCTTGATGAAGCCGGCGCAGTTGATGAAGACTTTGGGCCCCATGTGGCACATGGTGACCAGCTGGGTCCGGTTCTCCAGCCGCGTGTTGTTCTGCTTCAGGATCTGAAAGAGGAGACGGGGCAGGTGGTCACTCGGAGGCCGGGGAGAAGCGAGGGAGCCGCTCGGGGGGTTAAAGGAGGAGGGTCTGGGGGAGGCAGAGGTCCTCCCGAGCCTCCAGCCTCCTTGGACTCCCACCCAGAATTTGTCCCCCGGCTTTTCAACAGACATGAAGGCAACCCTCAACTTACAGCAGAGGCCCCCAAACTTGGCCACTTTAAGACTTGTGCACTTCAACTCCCAGAATTCTCATTGACAAGGCAATATAAACTGAGAGCAAAACCCACCCCTTCGAGCACTGAAGATGTTACCTAGTTGGGTCATGAAATGTCTGCAAGAAAACAACTCAGATCGGAGAGTCCCAAGGACCCCACAGTCCCCTTCCTTCCCCCCCTCACCTCAAACTCCCAGAATTCTGGAAGTCCACAAGTCTTAAAGTTGCCAAGTTTGGGGACCTCTGACTTACAGCCATTCACTTAGTGACGGTTCAATGGCCCTGAAAATAGTAACTTCCAACCAATCCTCGCACCTGCAGCTGCCACACAGCCACCTGATCCCAATTTGGGCCTTGGGCAACTTTCACGTATTGACACGGCTTTGCACCGTGGTGATGCACTGAACAACGGGTGGTGGGAAATGGTGGTAAAACGGAGCAAAAACCCATTCGCCGTTCCTGGTAAGCGACAGACGTTTTTGGCTCAGTCGTGACTTTCCTCGCCCCCCGTTGTTCAGCAAACCAGGGCAATTGTTACGTGAACCGGGCTTCGCCATGGACTTTGCTTGTCAGGTCGCAAAAGGGGAATCCCATAACCGCGGGAACACCGTGACTGTCATAAATACGAGTCAGTTGCCCAAGCGCCTGGATTTTGATCAGGGGATCGTTGGAACGCTGCCACGGTCCTAGGTCATTTTTCCCCCCGGGGCTGTTTGTAACTTGGAACGGTCACTAAAACGGAGGATTGCGAAGTGGAGGAAGGTCTTTCAAAGGAGGGTTTCTGTCGCCCCCACCTCCCATGCCAGGGTCCCCCAGCCCGTTGCCCCCACCGGCACGCAGCAGAGCCCCTACCTTCAGCAAGTGGGTGCCCTTGCGGGCTCCCAGGCCGCAGACGTACTGCAGGAGGGCCTGGCTGTGCGGGTGGGCGATGGCCCGGTTGACGTCCACGCCCACCTCGTTCACCCGGTTGATGAATTCGCAGTAGAGGGCGCCCAGCAGCTCTTCCTTCACCACGTGGTCCTGGGGGGGTGGGCACAGGGAAGGGAACGTCAGCCCTCCAGCCGTGGGGGGGGGGGGGGGGGGGGGGGGGGGGCCCCAGGGGAGGGGGGGGGGGGGGGGGGGGGGGGGAGAGAAGGCCTCAGGAGCGGGGTGGCCCAGTCTGGGTGAGGGGAAGGGGATCAACCAGCTTTGGGCTGAGTGGTGCCAACAGGCTTCTGGACTCCAGGTCTTAAGCCCACCCCTCCCCACCTTTGAGAGAGACCCCCCTCCCCACGAGAGGGTGAGGCTCTAGCCAAAGTCCGCTTAGCATCTCGGTATTACCTGTTCAAGACCAGCTCTGGAAGGGACAGGAGTTTATTTTCCCCCACCCAGCAACTCCGGTCCCGATTCTTTTTGTCCTGGCTGGCCTTGGACCCTCAGGGCCTCCCCACTGGGAAGGGCCAAGAGCTGGTTTGGTGTAGTGGTTAAGACACCGGGCTAGGAAGCAGGAGACGGGGAGTTCTAGTCCTCCCAGTCCGGCTGGGTGAATTTGGGCTAAACACTAGGAGACGGGGAGTTCTAGTCCTGCCTTAGGCATGAAAGCCACCTGGGTGACTTTGAGCCAGTCTCACTCTCTCAGCCCCACCCACCTCACAGGGTTGTTGCTATGGGTAAAATAGGAGGAAGGTGTGCGTTGTATAGGTCCTCCCCCTTGAGTTGTTTGTACAAATAATGGAGGCAGGGTACAAAACGAACGAAACTCTCCAACCCCTCGTCTTCCAGGCAAGGCCTCCCTGTGGGGGGTTACCTGCATGGGGTGCAGCTTCAGGCAGAGAATATCCTCGTCGGGGCTGCAGACTTGGGCGAACTCGACCAGCGGGTCCTGGATGCGGCGAGCGAGGGAGACAGCTTGGCGCAAGACGGGCGGGTAGTCCCTGAATTCGGTCTGCGAGGAGGAGAGTCAACCTGCAGTTGGTTCTGGTTGATTGGCACACCCTCCTCTGCCCCTCCTCATCCTTTTCTACCCTTAAAACACATTCTCACGTTCACCAAATTGTCACAGAATAGAATAGAATAGAATAGAACAGGAATATGGAACAGAAAAGAATTAGAATAGGAATAAGAAGAATGGAATGAAATAGAATGGAATGGAATACAAAATAGAAAACAGAATAGAACAGAACAGAATAGGAATTAGAAGAATGGAATGGAATAGAATAGAAAATATTGAATGGAATGGAATAGAAAATAGAGAACAGAAAATAGAGAACAGAATACAATGTGATACTGTACAATGCGACACAATACTTTATTTGGCCAAGTTCCTGTTCCTCTTGAATTCATTTCACTTTTATGTTTCTGCTGGCTGACCCAGTTCACACCCACGTAACACAATTGAGATCACTGTGTGCCAAAAGCAAATATTTTACCTTCTTTTGGCAAACATTCCTTCCTCCTTGAGCCTGCCTAACATTTGCTACTTTTCAACCGGGATCTGCACGTTTCCAGAATTCCCCCATTTCCCCTTTTATGGGTAGTCCTCAACTTACGACCACAATGGAGTGGAATACCTGCCACACTATGTGTATCCCCACAAAGGGCCTTTTCAGGTCCACAGATGACTATCAGCATTTAGCATTAGCCCTTAGACTTATATCCCGCTTGACAGTGCTTGACAGCCCCCTCTAAGCCGTTTAGAGTCAGCCTTTTGCCCCCCGACAATCTGGGTCCTCATTTTACCCACCTCAGAAGGACGGAAGGCTGAGTCAACCTTGAGCCAGTCAGGGTTGAACCGCTGGCTGCAGGCAGTTAGCCTGCAATACAGCACTCTAACCACTGTGTCACCCCAGTTGCCTTCCTTTCCTTCCTTCTTTTTCTTCCTTCTCGTCTTATTTTCCTTTCTTCCCCCTTCCTTCCTTCTTCCTTTCCTTCCTTCTTATCTTCCTTCCTTCTTCCCATTTTCCTTCCTTCACCCCTTCCTTCCTTTCCTTCCTTCTCATTTTTCCTTCCTTCCTCCTTCCTTCCTTCTCCTCCCTCTCTTCCTTCCTTCCCTTCCTTCTCTCCTTTCCTTCCTTCCTTCCTTCCTTCCTTCCTTCCTTCCTTCCTTCCTTCCTTCCTTCCTTTCCTTCCTTCCTTCCTTCCTTCCTTCCTTCCTTCCCAAGCAATAGCCCTTAGACTTATATATTGCTTCATAGTGCTTGACAGCCCTCTCTAAGCACTTTACAGAGTTGGCTCTTTCCCCTAACAATCTGGGTCCTCATTTTAGCGACCTTGGAAGGACAGAAGCCTGAGTCAACCTTGAGCCGGTCAAGACAGAAACTTCCTGGCTGTGGGCAGAGTCAGCCTGCAATAAGTCATTCTAACCACTGTGCCCCCATAGTTATTATTTCAGTAAACACTGAGGGTTTGTCCGCCTGTCAGAAAAGAACTGTTGCGGGACGCACATCCAGTGACTCCTGCGCAATTGTGGTGACGTGCAGACAATAACAGCTATGCATACCTGCCCTGTGTGTCCTGATCAGGACTCCATGGCAGTGCAAACAGTTAAAACAGAAATGAACAGCAATTAAAGTTTCTAGTTTCCAGGCAAGATCTGCTTAACAGTTTTACTCTTGTGTTTTATATCTTAAAAGTTAAAAACTGTGTGGTATGCCTTATTTTAACTGTGATGCCTCCGAGACGAAATAAAGAAAGTGAAAGGGAGTTAGCGTCCCCCTCCACACCCTGAAGACCCTCCCCCCCAAAAAGAGGGTCACCTCTGACTTCTTGCTGTTCATGTAAAGCGTGGCCAGTTCGTTGTCCACAAGCTCCACGCCGATGGAGGAGAGCTGCTGGCCCTGCTCCAGTTCGTGGACAATCCGCTTCACGTCTTCCACCAGCATCTGCGCGTCCCTGGGGGAGAAGGAGCGAGGGGAGGGGGAGAGCTGAGGACCCCCAGCTAGGCAGAGGCTCCATTAGGCGGCCCGGCCTGATCCTCTTTGGGGGGGGGGCACCCCCCCCACTCTTTGGGGAGGGGTGAGGGTGAAAGGAGGAGCAAGCAATTCTTCAGCAAAGAAAGAAAGAAAGCAGGACCCCCTCCCTTAAATCCTGCCGGGTTGCCCTATGAAGCCATGGCTTAGAATTGCTGCCCTAACCTTTAGCCAGAGGTCTCCAAACTTGGCAAGACTTTAAGACTGGTGGACTTCAACTCCCAGAATTCCAGCTCTGCTGGCTGGAGAATTCTGGGAATTGACGTCCACCAGTCTTAAAGTTGCCAAGTTTGGGGACCCCCTGCCTTAGGCCATCAAAGGCTTCTATGGGGAGTCCTTGACTTACGATCATGATGGAGCCCCAAATTTATGGGGCTGTGAGACGTTTGTCAAGTGAGCTTTGCCCCATTTTACAACCTTTCCAGCCGCAGTTGTTAAGTGAATCTTGGTTTCCCCATGTTGTCAGAAGGTCCCAAAAGGGGATCACGTGACAACACCCCCCCCCCCGGGGCCACAGCGACCGCTGTAAGTATGAATCAGTTGCCAAGCGTCTGAATTTTGATCACGCGACCAGGAGAAATGCTGCAATGGCCACTGTGTGAAAAGGGGTTGTGATTGACTTTTTCCCCAGTGCTGTTGTAACTTGGAACGGTCACTAAATGAACTGTTGTAAGTCAAGGACTACCTCTATTTTAAAACAGCTGCCTGGAGACAGGCCACGCAGGTAGAAAAAGAACAAAAAGGAAAACCAAAGTGAAAATAAGCACAGGGTGTCCTTGGCTCTCGACCTCCCCCCCTTCATAACTCACGACGGGACAGGCGTCACTGTGCTTGGCAAAACCCGTCATAATAATTCTCCCCTGTGGCTATAGGAGCCGTGGTCATAAATGGAGCTCTGTTGCCAAGTGTCCAAAGTCCAGTCACGATTGTGGTGTGTGTGTGTGAGAGAGAGAGGGGGGGAGGGAGGGGGGGAGAGAACAAGAGAGAGATAGGAGAGAAAAAGAAAGAAAGAGGAAGAGAAGAGAGAGAAAAAGAGAAAGAGGAGAGAGAGAAAGAGTGTCAACTCAAAAATATTTCTCTGGTCTTTTAGCAGAAAGGGAGTGAGGAAAGTAGCGCATTCCTCAAATGCTTCATGGATGATGGCTAAGTGGCTGAAGCTGTTGGCCCGCAAGATTATTCCTGGAGAGGATGATTGATGACTCTTGTCTATGGGTGGGTCCCATTGGAGAATATATGTCCAGGGGGTGGGGTGGGGGGGGAGACCAGAGTCAAGGGGGAAATGAATGATGGGTCTCAGAGTCGGCTGCACCCAGGTCACACCGACATGGTCACTCCTAATAAATGATTTTTTAAAAAACTCTGAGAGATGCGGCTAGAGATTTGTGATTCGAATGGGGGTGGATTGTCAGAGCCCTGGGAGAGGGAGAGAGAGAGAGAGAGAGAGAGAGAGAAAAGAAAGAGACAGAGATTGTCCAAACTTTGAATCTGAGTCATAAGTAGCCCCAAGTTAGTTTCCTCATAAGCAACCGGTCATAAGTCAAGGACTTCCTGTATCACTGCTCCCTCAAGTATAGAAAGAAAAATAATGGCAAATTCTTTTTTAAAACACTGTACACCTAAGAAGGTTAAGGGCGGAGGGGCCAAAAACCTCCAGTGGGAAAAGGGCCCTTCCAGACATTCCCAGGAGGGGCCTTGTTCATCCCTGCGAGCTTCTCCCGGAGTGGAACAAGGGGAAGGCGGGTCTTTTATGCGAGCGGAGAATTTAAAACCTGCCTGGGGGAGATCTGAACTCAGGGCCTTGCTGGGAGGGGTCCCCGACAGGTCGGTCCGAAGCTTACCTGTTTTCTCCCGCAATGGTGACCACGTGGGGTTTCTTGCTGAGCAGGAACTTCTTCAGGGTCTCAATATCCTGAGCCTGCGTCAGAGAAAGGGGGTCTCACGCTTGGAAGGAGGGGAGGGAAACGAAACAGCAGAGCCCCCCCCCCCCCCCATGGCCAAAGGAGACCCTCCCCCCCGCTGGAAGTTGGGCAGAAAAGACAAGACAAGGTGTTCTTCTCCCACAAGGTTCAGCTGAACGGAGTCCTTGGCTTATGACCAAAACAGAGCCCAGCATTTCTGTTGCTAAGGGAGAGGGTTAAGGGAGTTTTGCTCCGTTTTATGACCATTCTTGCCACAGTCGTTAGGTGGATCACTAATCAGCGGCTAAGTGACTACTGTGGGTTGTTAAGTGAATCTGGCTCCCCTCTTCAGCTGGCTTGCCCGAAAGTGGCAAAAGGACCATCCTAAATATCGGTCAGTTTCCAAGCGTCCACATTTGGTTCATGTGACGGTTCACAGGGAGGCTGCAACCGTCGTAACTGTGCAAAATTGGTCACAAGTCACTTTTTTAGGGCCGCTCCCCAGCAAGCAAGCTTTAAAGCAGTGGACTCCCACTCCCAGAATCCCCCCAGCCAGCCTGCTGAGTGGGAGTCCGTCCACCTTAAAGCATTGCTGGCTAGGGGATTCTGGGAGTGGGAGTCCACCCCTCTTTATAAAGCGGCCAAATTTGGACACCCCCGTTCTAAAACAAAGACACAGGCGGCGCTGTAGCTCCGCTTCCTTCCTGGTGGCAAACCAGGTGAATCCTGGGAGTGAGACGACTCCCCCCCACTTCCCCGGGGCTCACCTTCTTCTCCCTCTCTTCCTCCCGCCAGGCGTTCCTCCGCTTGGTGAAATGCGGCAGGCGCAGGAAATCGGTGACCTCGCCTTCCCCGTTCAGCAGGGCGCAGAAGACAGGGTGGTTCCTGCAAAAAGAGGCAGCTGGCTGAGTCCGGGGCAGAGCCCGAGGGGCCACCCTGAACCTGGGCCTCCCCCCCCCCCCTGCCCTCCTGCCCCCTCGTACCTGGCCGAGGAGAAGGCGATGCCCAGCACCCGGATGCCCTTCCCTTGGTTCTCATCCATCAGATCTTCGTCTTCCTCCACTTGCTGGTCGGGCCGATAAGGGGCCACCTTCAGCCAGTTGTACAGCTTCCGGCTACAGGCCTGGTCGGAGAAACGGGGGGGCGGGTGGTTGGGGAGGGATTAATTTAATTCAATCAAATTTAATTTAGTAATTTAAAGTCATAATTCTCTGTAATAATTTCAATTCATTTAATGAAGTTTAATTTACAGGTGGTCCTCAACTTAGGATGGGGTGTCGAACTCAAGACCCCCCAGGCCGGATCTGGCCTGCAGGGGCGCCCTGGAAACAGCCCAAGAGCGGCCCACGGGGTCTCTGCCAGCCGAGCTGTTTCCAGCCACGACGGCCTCCGGCAACCCTCTGCCGGTGAAAACGGAGCTCAGGGGGGCCGAGCTCCGTTTCTGCTGGCAAAGCGCTTGATGCCGCCACAGGCCACTCTGGCCACGGGCAGCCCCCCCCCCCCCCCCCCCCCCCCCCCCCCACCCCCCCCCCCCTGGCCCCCCCAAAGAAGCGGGGGTGGGCCCCCCCCCCCCCAACTTAGGATCGCTGGGCCCGGAATTCCCGTTGCTAAAGGAGACCATCGTTCAGTTTGAGGTTTGCTGCATTTTACGACTTTTCTCCTCCTGTCGGTTACGTGAATCCCTGCAGCTGTTCAAGTTGGGAACC